TAAACTCTGGGTCAAAGCTTTGTCATGTGTTTCCAGGTTTCAGAACCCGTAGAAGTGTATTTAAAGTTGCAGGAGTCTTGAGACATCTTCACAAACAGCAGTGATGTAAACCAAACAAACGCATATCAACAAAGCCTCAACACTCGTGCTACCTTTTAGTTACAAGTCTACAATTTAACCCCGGAAAAAAATCCCAATTTGTTTATGCTATGGTTAGAGAAAGATGCTTTCATGGATTAAAGAAAACATGGTGATCACAGAATGAGAACTGCACTGTCTAGTATACAGTCTGACAATTTGTCCGACTGTTCATCCCACGGTCTGTCCTTAAGAGGTACGCAGGGCAACAACCGCGTCAGGTACCATCCTCACAGTACAGGACAGTTATCACAATGACCTTTGTTTGAAGGCAAATAAAGTACAATGTGATTCCCTTCTGAGGGATGACTGATAACTGGAGGTCAGTGCATCACAGACTCTGCACAGATCTGTGTGGTTTCAGTCTCAAACTGGACTGAGACTGCTCATGAGAACGAGGTGTGAATTGCCTCGTGGCGAGATCATCACACTGGGCTGATGAATGGACCAGAACGGCCCTGGGATCGATCGCTGATGCATTCAAACTGTGTGACTGAATCAATGTGTCTTTACAAACCAATGTTTCTCTAACTCATTCACCCACATCAGAAAAGCAGACACATTGCCGCATATTATTAGTCCTGGTCACTCACAACAACCAAGTGTGGGCTGATTTTTTCACTTTCAGACTTTCACTTCACATCACAAAAACATGCATGCATAATGCATGCATAAATGTGTTGATCCTTTTTAGACTACGTACAGAAAACAGAACACACAAACACACACACACAGGAATCATCTTCTGAGTAAAGCACATAATGCAAACTGTGGCTGGAACCCATTTGAGAAAATGTGATTAGCCCAACACACGCCACCTCATTAGGAGATTGGATCTTAATACCAGCAGTGTTTCAGAGCACTATTTAGCAGGAAGTGAGCCCAGATGCTTATCAGTGCCTTGATTCATAACACAGCCCATCAGGGATTCCTATAGACAGTATACAGAGTCAGACAAACTTACTGATCAACCACACACAGACACACACACACACACACACACACACACACACACACACACACACACACACACACACACACACACACACACACACACACACACACACACACACACACACACACACACACACACACACACACACACAAGCTAACCACGAGCCTCTTTTCTGACACGTTTGCACCGCATGGATCCACAAACACAGCAGCATCTGTTCCACCATAACAGCTTGCTAATTAAATGATCAAAGGAAACATTTCTTTTATAAATCATGTACTTTCTTGTGTTTGTTCATCTCTCACCAATGTGGGATGTGTTTGTGTGTAGCAGGTGTTTGCAGCCATGACACTGTGTGTATATGTAAGCATATCTACAATTGCACAGTGTGTATTACTGCAACCATGCACTCTTTTTATGATCCAAGTTCACAGGTTGGAGAGACTTCCTTTCAACTGTTCTGGATATTACAACTGAGGCAAAAATGGATATGGTTTATGTTAATAATGCAACGTTTTGACCATGCAGACAACAGTTGTTTCAACTTGTGGGAGCCTTCTCAGGATTTTCCCCATTCAGAAACCCCGTTTTTCCAACCATTGTGACAACATTTGAATGTAGGGTTTGTTTGTCAAGATATGGTACAGTATGAGAATCTCCCAGGAAGTGAAATGACACGAGTGTGTAAGTCTTAAATCTATTACACATCTAATGGGACATTTACCCTGACAGTTTGCTTCACTATCTCTGATTTGAAAAAAAGATCTTCTGCTTTAAACTCAGATATGCGAGCGATTATATGCCAATAAAAAAACAACAACTTCAAAGTTCACAAAACCATTTTTTGACCACAGCTAAAAACTTTTAAAATGTTGGACTTAAGTTTTCATAGACAAGCTACAAATGGGTTTTAACAGTTTCTTGGTGCGATGGCAACAAGTTGACAACTTCTGCAAACTCAAAATCAAAGAAAGAACAAACACTCTTACTGATGCTGGAGCCAAGTGGAAATACAAAATAATAGAACAAATAAGAATTCTGTAAAACAATTATTTACATATTAGCGCTGGATTAACTGATTCCCTGATATGTTTATTAATATTGAAACTGACAGTTGCCACGCTGTTATGCCTTTTCATATACCCTGTATCAAAACAGTTTGACTTGTACAGGCTTTGGTTCATTTTCAGTGACTTTACTTTGCCAGCAGTACAAAAAAAACTCTCAAAAGACTTTCATACAAATGTAATCTTCTATTTGTATTTTCAAAATAAAGCTTCCAGTGAAATGATTCAGCACAAAAGAATCATTCATGATTCAGAAATATTTTGTGTTGAAATGAAGACCGCTACCCTTTGAAAGCGAGACATTAACATGATCCCTAATGTACTTGAAAACAAATTGGGCTAGACACCAAAATACTGATTGCTTTTGGCATAAAGACAAGAGATTTTGAGGACTTTCAGGCACACAAAAAAAATGTGAAGTTTCCTTGACTATATGTGAAAACACAATTGAAAAATTACCAGAAAGTGCAACTTACTTCATTGTGATCAGAGATGCACTCTGTGCTCATATAAACACACATAAAGATACCTCAATTATCTTTTAATCAGTCTGAATTGTAAGTTTAGGTCACGATGACTGCAACTAAAAAGTGTAAAAAAAAATGTCCTAATCGGGATGTTGTACATTCTCTGTGACTGAAACTATTCTAAAGAGTCTCCATTTTTCAAACAACTTTTATCAAGTTGTTATTTGGGAATCAAGTCACTGTCACAGTTATCACTTGCTGCCCCTTAGAGGGATGTCAAAGTAACTTGTAAAGCAGGAACACAGCTAGTTTCAAGTCAAGCTGTCCTTAAACACAGCAGTACAAAAATGAACATCAATGAATTCTGTCCTAATCAACAAAACAAAAATCCCTGTATCGAATGACAATAAAACAGACTCATGATTTCCGTCAATATATTCCCTTACAGTGAGATTGTATTCCTAATCTCTTGGTAGTTTGTTGATCTCACTTAAATAGTTTGTTTTAGGCTGTGGTTGTGAGCAGATGTAACGACTTAACCCCTGCGACCTCAGCTGTCCCGCCTGAGCAAATAAAACGTCAACATCCGGCTTCACGGCCCCTCCTCTGACAGCTCCACTTCCTCCTTCTCACAGCGCTCCTGATTCCAGCAGGAGCATTGGGGCGGGAAGGGACGGGGTGTTTCATCACCCAGACCATGCTGCAGTGTGGGCGCGCTGCTGGTGCATGCGTGTGAGATGGATATGTTTACATAAATTAATGCCTAAGCAGCATTGTATATATTATGAATATACACAGATAAATCTGTAGACTTAGAAAAAACAATAGAATGTGTGCAATTTTACACTAAACACTCCAATTGTTACAGTCCCTTTTTCATTTTAAATATCCTCAGCAACACAGGAAATCATGTGTTTTACATTTTGGAGCATTCAAAAAACTGAAAAAAAAAAAAAGAAAGGTCAAATGAGCATCTGCGTCGTTTCCACATTCATAGTAAAGTCTCTTGTATGGAACTAAGTTAATTTAGATCTCAGCACAGCAGAAAGAAAAAACCAAGAGACAATCTCCATTTGTACACTAATTATCTTGCAACTGTCACTTATTAGATATGACTCAAGTCATCTAGAGTCTTCAGTAAGTGTGTGTGTGTCACGTTCACGAGCATCCTCTGCACAGAAACAGGATAAGCGAACAAAACAACTGATCTATGAGTTAAGGCAGACAAAAGCCAGAGAAGCTCAGCCTGAATGTTAACAATAATCTCCAAATTGGTTAATTGAAAGTGCATGAGGAAAGTGGAACTCGTGTTTTCTCCAAAGAAGAATGGAAATCTCAAAATGTTTTGTCATGACAGGGCAATTTAACACCAGAAAAACCAAACTGTGGTCAGCTGAAGGCTGTTTTGAATTGAAGCCCCGAAACATGTCGGCTTTAAAAGTGTCCCATCAGGACTTTTCCCTGAGCCACTCCGTCCAGGCCAGTGATGATAGACTCAAAATGGAGCACAAGAGTATATTACAACCAGACTTTTCAGCTAACAGAATGCTGACCTTCTGGTGGGTCTTTCAGTGTTACATAGGATGAGAAGAGATGTGGCCTAATATGGTAAATTGTTTCATCTATTGACTTTATTTGCTGATTTTACAATTAGTTTTGCAACAGCATGTGCAACTTTAAAATACTTCAACATAGCAGCGCACGCACCTATAGCCCATTTTAAAAGTCATTAGATGACTGTTACATGTTCTGTCTCTGCCGTGTTGTCTGCACACTGTGGTCCAAGCAACAGGTGATCACATTTGTGTACTGACATAGTGATGAAGCAATGTATCATTCAAAGAGTGAGGGGAGTCAGGTCCAAGTCAGGACAACTTCGACATCACGGATTAAGGAAATACATTGATAACAAACCAGAAAGTGCGATTTTTTTTTTTCTCTATACAGTATGCATAAATGTGCATTTCTGTCAACGGGGGAACTTATGCATGCGTGAAGGATGGTGGGATTCCTGTGGTAGAGTAAAAAAACATGTGGAGGGCATGGTGTTATTACAAAAACATGAAGGTTTTCTCAGGGACACAGTCCTCGTACACCTGGCAGCAGAATGAGATGATGGAAATGTGTGTGTGTGTGTGTGTGTGTGTGTGTGTGTGTGTGTGTGTGTGTAACGGCTGGTCATTATCAGGGAAACAAAGAGAAAAAACTAATAAAATGTGTTGTATTTTCAAAAAGTGCCTTCACTTAATTGCTGATTAATTAAGCAACAGTTGCTTCTACACTTTCTCTAAGTACCTTAAATGCACACTTCAAAGTTTCAAAATAAGGAAGAGACAAATGATCAGAAAGATGACAAAAAGTTCAAGTACTCACACAAAGGCGTGGTAGATGAAAGCCCATTCCCTCGGTCTCTCCAGCACGTTGTAGAGGTAATTCTGGAGTCGCCGGTAGCGTGCGTTCCTGCGGCCACTCTGCGCGCTGTAGGTCAGCGGCTTCCCCAGCAGGCTGAGCCGGGCGCCCTGCTTCCTCTCCGCTCCCACCGCACCTGCCGAAGCGGGAGACAGGAGACCGTCCCCGGGTCGTACCGTGTTGTTCATCGTCCTCCGACCAGACTCCACATCTTTCAGCGTGTAGTCCTGCCCCCGGCGTCCAGTTGAGGTCTTCATCCAGAGCCCGGTGCTGCCGCTCTCCTCGCCGGTGTGACTTCGCGGCATGGCATCATCAGCGCAGTGCGCTGGGAGACCAACAGACATTCACATGTAGCCAAGTGCTTTCTGGCCTCAGGATATGTGGCTACTCTGATTTAGATTTTTTTTTTTTTTTTTTTTTTTTTAAATGATATGCGGATGAATGGTTTAAAATCTAATCTGCTATCATCTTGTCATCCTGTGGCTATTGGAGCACATTCACCGACCGGTTGGGACACTTTGGTCATCTGCGCGAGACTTGAGACGAGTTGGGTTATGAAGGAGAGAATCCCATCGAGACATTTGACGGGGGGAGGGCTCTCCCACCCTCCCACATTCTCTTTCTTTCCTTATTCACTCTGACTCGCCGTCTCACTTTTTTTTCTGACAAAGTGTCTGAAGCTTGCCGGTGATGTCCAAAAAGCATGGTTAACTTTTACGCACCGGACGTAGAAGGACGCGGCACGATATTATCTCAACCAGTGCGTTATTGGATGTTTTTGACCGCTTTCGCCGTTTCTATGATTTCCAAATTCCCTCGTGAATAAACACAGAAGACATGTCCAAGAAAACACCACCGCGCCGATGACGCAGGTTTTACGCAGACGAAGAAATTTCCCAAGTCCCAAAAGAAACAGTTGAAACCGTTTTGACTTAAAACGTATACGGGCACATTAAAAGGCCGAAATGTGTTGTATTATATGGAACTCCTAAAACTCTGAATCGAATAACCCTTTAAAAATATATAAAGTCCCTACTCTTCATTTCTGTGCATAAACTGGGAATTTATGTAGCCTATGTTTGACATGGAGTAGCTAACATGAAACTGTTTTCGTACAGAATGATGATCATTTGCTTGACCACATTTATCCCCTGATCCATTACAGATTAAACAGCACTCCGAGATAGTTCATACATTTGGGATTACTCCTCAATGCAGAGATTTTGATGGTGATTCACATGGTTTCAAACTATGAACGGATCTGAACACGCGTGGAGATTGAATTGATAACAGCTGCGTCACGCTCTTCCTTACTGACCGATCATGTGACCCCTGACAAGCGGGGTTTTTTATGGCTCTTAAAAAGTTTTTACAAAATACCGAACCAATTATCTCGCTGAACATTTTTTTAAGTTGAAAGATACACGTGTTCATGAAAAAAAATGGTTTCAGAAAGTTTATTCATAAAGTGCATTTTTAAAATTCCTTTCGGATGATTTGTTTTACCATATTTCTGAAACGAAATCAGGTATTGCGCCAGTGTAATTGATATCCTGTGACTATATTAGAATGTTAAGCACACTTTGGTCCTTTAAATGAACCCATCGAAGAAATTAATAATTCAAAATATATAAGAATTATATAGAATTCTTATTGCTCCTTATTCCTGGGTTAGGGTTAGGGTTTGCAAGTTTGCAGAGAAGTTTTCTATTTTTAGATTTACATTTTTTATTTCCACTTTGATCTCACCCACCCAGAGCTCATGGTGATGTCAGCAATGTGACGCTACACGTGCATCACTGCACTAGTGAACTTTTTTGTAACTGCAAAGTGTTGTAAAAAAAAAAAAAAAAGTCTTGTGGATGATCTACGATTGTGATGCCTGCCTGGCCTCTAGCGGTCAAATGTTGATACTACATGAATGGATTATATGAGTCAACCTCAAAATAAAGTAATTTGCAATTGTGGTTATTTTTTACTTCCTTTATAGACCAATGTCTGTCCATATTGAAAATATATAACAAGACTATTCTCTGGGTTTCATTGGAAAATACAACTTTGCTATATTGTTTTTAGACACCATTTCAATATTCACTCAATGGTCATTATCATCTATCCCTACTATTGGGATACTCAAATTATCTTTTAATGTTGAATTGCTTTGCTCAAGGTAGCAAGATGTATAAATGCAAGGAACCTGACTATTCATTGTAATTTTTTACTTCTCAATTGATCTGCAGCTAAAAAGTCAAATGATATTGAAAATTTGGAGGGACATCAAGTCAAACTAATATTTATGAAAAAAAGAACATAAATGTATATTTATTTTCTTTCTGAAATACATTAATTTGAATTCATGAAATATAAATAACTTTTCATGACTTTTTGCACATTTTTGGTTTATTCAACACATTTCCACTGCTTTCCTTATTTTATATACCTAAATTGACTGTTTAAATCTATTCAGGTAGAACGAATGGGGGAAATGTTTTCATTAAAAAATCTGTAACATTTTAGATGGAATGATGTAAAAAAAAAAAAAAAAAAACACTACAAATGTACCAAAACTGCATGCTGACCTATACCCGCTCACCTCCATATGCGGGCATTCTGATGTTTCTAAACAACTTATCCACCATGCAGTCCAGCTTAAGTTCACCTGCTCAAATGTAAAGTGACATGTGATACGTTTGGTGATTTGGTCATATTAAAAAAAAGTCTGTTATTCTTTATGGAAAACAGACTTCTTAAAGAGGATGTGGATTCATTGTGAGTGACAGGAGGAGCTGAGGGATGAAGGCGTGTCTAAAGAGAGCATCTGTTTTGTTCTAAAAATCTCAAATTTTATGAAAATAAGGAAAAATATTGAGCAATGTTATGTTTGATTTTAGATATTGGTCAGCTTAATGTACAAATAATTTAATAAGTTTAGCAAAAGGGAGTCCTAATTCTATGGAGGTCCTTTGACAGGGCAACGTTTTGGAAACCCTGTTTTAGGACACACCTGTGATGGAGATTTGTTACAGTACAGCATTTATCGTGTTGTCCATATGTCACCAAGAAATAAATAGGCTTCCACTCCCCCATCAAAATAGGTCATTGTACTTTAAGGGACATTCACCTCTATTAGCCCCCTGTCTATTTTTCTATCCCACTGTCTGTTATTTATTTTTTTACTTATATGGGCTGTTTTACTTATATTATAAGCTTACCACGATCCCAACATGTGTTGTTGCATAGCCTAGGCCTTATAGGATCAATTAAATAACGCACAGTCTTAAATGGCAGGATTTAAGCACCGTGGACAGCGACATCATGGGCAGAAAAAGCAACTGGTTGGCCTGGAGCTCGGTAAAAGAAGCAAACAGGAAGAGAGCAAGCGTGGGGGTGGGTGGGGTGAGCTGGAGGGAGATTGGTGTGAGGGAGTGGCAGATTTTCACGGAGAGCCCGAGAGAGAGCATTGGTTGGGATTAGGGCTGGTGCTGTAGGTTGGACGGGATTACAGAGCGCAGCGCGGCGCACTTCCCTCTGCTGCGCGCTCCGTCATGGGCTTGAACGCACGGCATTTCTCCGTCTGTCTTAACTGTTAGACATCTGAGACCCATCACCCCACACACCCTGCAATCCTACTGATCCTGGTTAGACACACGCTTTATGGAAACATGGCCAACGTCCCTCAGCTGATCAAAATTGGGATTTCTTTGAAGATGCTTCCCAACGACACCGCGGTGTACTTCAAGTCAGACGGAGCCAGGTTTGGACAGACCCGGACCATCAAGCTGCTGACCGGGTCTAAATACAGAATTGAGGTGGTTGTCAAACCAGGAGCGGTGGAGGCCACGTAGGTAGCCCCTTTTTCATTTCGTTTTAGCCATCATGCAATATCCTGACTGAGACATTACCCAAAATTGCTAGCATGTTTGATTCAATTCAATTTCATTCTGAAGCAATCTCCATTCAGTTAAGCATTTTCCTCAATATGTTGCTTTAATAATGGGCGGGAAATAGCCTAGCCTTACTCTTCGTACTCCTTTTGTAATCATTAAATTTGATTGAAAAATAATGAATTGATTTGATAGAATATAGTCTATTTTCTTAATGGATTGAAGCCTATCAAACAGGAACCATTGCTCTCTCTGTACGATAGAGGCTATTTTTTTTTACTGTTCTTGCATTGTTTCTTGTGATTACACGAGTGAACGGTTAATAGGTGAATGTTGTTTAATGAATTACCCTCACAGGCAACCGTAGATGCGACTTTGACAGGTTTACTGTGCTGATTGTTTTTTTTTAAGGCTGCATTTATTGACAATAGGAGAAATTGAAAATACAGACCCGGCACAAATATCACTTTAAATGTCTATTCCATGTGTGTTGGCCCTATTCTTTTGAACCCATCTACGTCATACCTTACAAGTAGAGCACGAAAGTAGGGTTTTACGAGCAGCACCTGAAGGCAGCTTAACCCCCAGTTGGCTGCTTGTCAAATCCTCCACCAGATTATGATTCCTCGCTTGCTTTTTGTGTCACTGCCCTCTTGTGATTTGTCTACAATTCATGATTATGTAATAAATGTTGTACTTTCAGAGCCAAAGAAGGATTAGTGTTGCACACACCAGACAATTGGGCTGTCGAACATGCCTGAAAGAGCATTCTGGTTTATAGGTCATGTGATGGCTCATGGGTGTATTGGATTGAGAGCATGCTCATTTGACACAGCTGTAGACCCAAAAATGCTTCACTGAGGATGAACATTTTGTCTACGTCAGGATGCATGTTTTTGGACATTTTAAAATGTCGTGGATTTGTAAAAATCCTTTGACGTGTGTATTGATGAATCTGTTGTATACCTGTCTGCAGTGCCATGAGTGTGGGTGGGGTGACCTTCCCTCTGGAGCAGAAGTCCAAGGATCCTCAGTCAGTTGTCTATGCGGGCCAGTATGACACAGAAGGGGTGGCACACACCAAGAGTGGAGAGAGGCAACCAGTTCAAATAAACGTACAGGTATGGCTACATCGTTCACAAGGCAGGACATTAATCTGCAGGCGTGAGCAGGAGAAGCTTAAAATGTCATTTTATAGACAGGAAGTGATCGGAATGAGAAAAAGGTCTCTTTGGATGCCCCTGTCTTGTTGAGAAGACAAACTGCAGAGAGAAATTCCAACTGTGCTACACCAGCAGCACCATGGTGAAGATCTTACTTGTTGGGATGCTTATCAAATATGTGTGGACTTCCTTTCTTTTTTTCTATTCTCACTGATTTTGTTCTGCATGTATTCTTAGCCTGGATTGGATGTTAACATTGTCATTAGTATAACTATATTACTCTTTAGCACTTTTACTTGATGTCTGTAGTGGCATGGCTGATTTTATTCATGTATTGCATTGACCGTCCAATAGTCAAGGGGAGCGAAACATAGATCTGAACAGGCATTTAGTAAGCAATCTTTTTAATCCTTTTAACCAGCTGTTGAACTCGATCAGGTAGTCGGAATCCCCCTCTAGCTTTAATACCTCTTAGAAAGTCCTGTTGTGTTCTCATTCTCTCCTTTCTCTCCCCTCATCTTTCTCTTCATCTGACGTTTGGGCTTTATTTGAAAAGTCTGTACAGTAGTTTTACACTTTTATGTAGCCTAACTCTACCTCCTCTGTAAACCATGATTACCATTTGGGCCTTTTTGCCTTATTGGATAGGACAACTGAAGAGAGACATGAAACACCAGGAGGAGAGAGTGGGGGATGACATGCAGCAAAGGGGGGCGAAGTGGGATTCAAACCCACGGCTGCTGCAATGAGCACTACAGCCTCCGTACATGCGTCATGACAGCTAGGCTATCAGCGCCCTCTAAATGATTACTTTATGTATAACTTAAACATCCTTATTATAAACGTCATTAATTATAACTTACATTAGACATTAGATGTAATTTTGATCACTTGAAGGTGTGTTAGCATAGCAAGGAGTTTTTTTTATGTTTAAATTGAAACATGTCGTAAAAATAAACGAATGAGCTCCATTCTACATTTTAATGAGAATACCCGCTGTAACATACTTGCTCTTTGCTAACCTTCGATCATAATGTTAATTTAATCCCTCTCAAATTCTACAGCTAAACCAATCAAATCATGGTTGATGGGATTACACGATTGATGTTTCTCCTCAGTTTATTTGAAAAACTGCAGGTTTTTCCATGAGTACACCTGAGCCAAATTAAAGGAAGAATGTGTTTTTGATCCAGTAGATGTCGCCCTTGAGCTCCAGCATCGCCGCTATTCTGAAACCTCCGCTCTCCACTCGCGTTCGCACGAAGGAGTTATGAATTAGAACACACCGTAATTAAGCACCATTAAGGGCAAGCGGTGGACAAAATTGTCCTTCGCTTGAGCTGCAATTGCCTGTGTACCTGCATTGTTATTTTAGCAGGCTAATGTTAGCACACATTGGTTAACTCATAGCTTCATATTGCATATGAATTGACACAGAATGACTGTGGTCCAAACACACTCACGTGATAACCAAATAAGCAGTGAGTAGGCTATGTCATTCTTCTTTTCTCTAGTCCTTGACTAAAAGAAGCTTTCCACAAAAGGCCGTCCCGTCCATGTAAACATGATGTAAACACGGCTCCCACAACAGTACAGCTGGTGGGACTCACCATTCCATCATTGTAGACAGTCATGACTCAGAGATAAATAGGATAAACTTGATTTCTACTATATTTATGAGTAAAATATTGCACATTCTTGCTTTAACTAAGAGATAGCCATATATGTGTGAATAGGTCTGGTGAGGTCTTGAAGTTAGTAATTAACAACAATAGGAAGAAGAACTATTGTTTGGACTGTGAAAATGTAAACCGGAAATGTAACTATTTAGATCGGATTTTACTCCAGCATAGCAATGTCTTCAAATGTCTTGTTATTTGTGAACAGCTGTCCAAAACTTGAAGAAATAGAGTTTACGATCATAAAAGATTAGAATCTTAGAAGATTTGCTCTTTCTTAGAGAGTTAGTTCAATAATTACAGTGTTCTGTTTACATTAGCTCTTATTCATTTTGTGTTTGACCAAATAAAAGCAGGTTACCTAACAGTGACACCATCATGTCTCTTTGCCCAAACCTCTACAAAATGTTTTTTTTCCCCAGTTGTTCAGAGTGCAAATCTAATTTTCTTGCTAAAAGTATGTTGAAAGTGAAATTCAAACATGATGTGGAAAAATTCTCCATGTTTGACATGAATGTTTGTGCCCATTTATATGTGACCCATCTGTCCGGTTCACTCCCTGGGGGGCTCTGGGATGATATGATGTGCATTTGCATGATGATGTGAGCATGTGTCCATCTGCCTACTACTACTCTGTCCGCTTCCTCTTCATTTCACCTTGATGTGATTTCACACATGCTGATATACTTTGTGTGTCTCCTTCAGTTCACAGAGGCAGGATCATTTGAAACTGTGTGGCAGGTGAAGTACTACAACTACAACAAGAGGGACCCACTGCCAGTGGGGAAACAGCTTCAACAGCATCGAGTACGAGTGCAAACCAAATGACACGCGCACACTCATGTGGATTAACAAGGAGATGTTTGTCTGATGGAGGAATATAGTGTGTTCAGCAACAACGAAACATTCAGGATTCTAATCAGACATGTCATAATGAACTTTTGACTTTTTATTTATTTCCTGTTGTTAAATGATGTCCATTCTCTCCTTCTTCCTCATATCTCCCGTCAAACGACACGACTTCACCTTTTTCTTTCAAAAGTGTGCCACTATTTCCATCATTCACTTAATCAGACCAATGCACCAGATTTACTGCCAATTATCAGCAGAATTGATCAAATCTTGTCAGTGCATTCACAGTGGTTTTGTTAAATTTTGTTGATTTGACAAATTGAATATGTCACATTTTGTAATAGTCGAACATTTCAAAGTTTAACCAGATGTGAAAGCTATCATCAAATTTTGTTTTAAGGAATATCTTATTGTGTACAGTTCATCTGGTAACACTGGTGTGTGTTTAGACTGTAAGTGCTGTGCTGGTTGTGTTTGAGTCCATATCTGTGTGGTAAGCTTCAGTGTGTGTGTGTGTGTGTGTGTGTGTTTAACAAATGGTGCTTGTACAAATGTGTTTATGTATTTTGAAGAAATATCTGAATGGGAATACTTTGATTCTGACATGACAATCAAACATTTTCAGAAGTCATAATGGACTCTCAGTAAACCCTTGCTGGCATGAAAGTAAAGTTTGATGAGCCCTGGTTACATGTGTTAAATGTTTCTTTCACCTTGTAGATTAGAACTATTTGTGTCTCAATTGGACCTATTTCCATCCCAGTCTCCTGTCCTTGTATCTGAACTTTAAGAAACTCAACATTCTCTAATGATAAAAAAAAGAGAAAATTGTCAAGTTATGCAGGAGAGCAAGGCAATAAGAACCCTATCGTTATCACTGTGAAGGTACCACTTCCTGCAAAGTGTCAATTTAAAGCGTGTTTCAGTTTTTTTTTTCTTTGCGTCAACATTGTTGTGCAACTCATCTGTTACAGCAGCTCTAATCCATGAAATTACCCATAATCCTGTTGTCAAGCCTAAACCTCTGCCACTGCCTGCTCCTGGATTAATTAACAGGGGCCCGTATGTTTTGTAATCAAACTCTCTGTGTAGCAGTACGTGGATGAGTATTTCTATTGTGGCACCAATTTGTGTATAGTACTATGCAGCTTTGGAAGTACCAATTTTGTATTTGGGTGACGTGGTGTCCCTATTTACTCAGTGTCTGTTTTCTCTACCTCCAAAGGATTTACCTATTGATATTAGTGTGTACTAAAGGGAAATATTGGATTTGGAATGTTCAGAAGTTTACGGAAGAGGATTAGGGCCAGACATGAGGAATAAATAATGAAAGAAGGGAAGATTTTTTATGCACGTAAACAAATTTTTTTTTTGGAAATGTCAAGAAAGCTTAAATTCTTTGTGTAGAGAAAAAAAATGTCATAATGTTGAGACTTAAGTTGAAATGCAATTTCATGAAATTTTGACTTTATTCTCGACATTGTGGTTCAGTTTTATTCTCGGCATTTCAATTTTTTTCTTGACATTTCAACAGTTTTCTTTGGGTGCATAATGATAACGTGTTCCTCCTCTCATTATGTATTGCTCATGCCTGACCCTAATTCTCTTCTGTACAATTTAAATAGAAAACATTATTGGATTAGAATAAGCAACTATTTTTGTACAGTGAAACACGTTAACTTTTTCTTGTCAGTGTTTTGGTCGAATTGATTCAATGTATTGTCATTGAAATGTTGAATTGAACTATGCAAGAAATGAAATGGTGCAATATATTTGTTATGTATACATGCAGAACTGTATGTGAAAGTGTTGTTTGTTTACAATGTAATTGAGATTAAAAATATTTTGTGTTTTCCTTTTGCTCATTTACTCCATGAACAGCATAGGTTTACTTACAACTTTTCTGATATCAAAGACTGGGTTGATTTTCTCCTCCTGGATACACTGCAGAGGCTGTTGAGTTCAACGTTTGGGCCCCAATGAACATTCAGACAGTCAATGCATGAATGTATGCTAATCCTTCATTGGGATAAAAATAGAAGTTATTTAAGGATTTCGAAATAATGTTTTACTGCAAGACCTGCTTCACATGAAACATATTCCCCCCCCCCCAATACTGTTAATCAACATTTAGATACCCTATGTGTCAAAAAAGATTAACCTTAACTTTTGTTAAATAGATATTGCAATAGCCTACTTTAGGAAAGGCCTACTGTAGATCCCTTAATCAGTTGCCTACTTATTAATACTGCAACATTTTAACACTGTTTAACAGGTTTAACCACGTTGGTGACTAGCGTGGATTTGGTACCTGTACATGGGGATTAAAAAAAAAAAAAGTGTTAATGCCAAAGGGATTACATAAAATCAAGTCCTTTAACCAGAAGTTCAGGGTGCACAGTCCATTAAAAGGTCTGTGATGTGACTTTCTGTAGTACAACAATACCGCCACTAGGTAGAGCACAAAGTACAAACATGAGCAAGAGTTCAAATTATAAATAAACAAATCTAACCTACAGGTCCCGGATGTACAGTATGGCTGCACCTCCCCCGTCGCCTCTTTGCACCCTCCCCTCCGCCACCGCCTGCTTGTCAAACCGAGCCTCCTCCTCCTCCTCCGTGTAGCCTTCTGTCCCCTCCCAGTGAGTCTCCCTCCCTTTGCCACTGCAGAGAAAGCCTCGGTACAGCACCGTGAGAGGCGGAGAAGAGTGCCTGAAGCTTAGTGCAAAAGCCAGGACGAGACCTCACAGAGCAACACAACCATACTTTATTATTATTTTTTTGTTGTTGTTGTTGTTGTTGCATTTCTCGCCACAGTTCGGGCGGCCTACCGACTGTTGATCCCCCCTGTTGATCCTCCTTTCCGTTTACTTCGCCTGGATTTCATCATCCGACCTGCAACATGGTAAGCAGCCACGGCTCCTTATTTCACCCCTGCGCCGACTCGTAAACACACCAGTGGTCAGGCCTGCGCTTTAATGTGTCTAATAACGTGGCTTTGGGGTCACTTTGTTTTTCCACGCTGAGCAGCTTTGCTTGGAGTTAATGTTCAGTCGACTGCGTAGAGCTGCGTAAAGAAGGAAACGCTTTTCTCACCCACTTTTGGCTCCTAGTTGCGCGCTCTGTGCAACACCTCGGGGCTGTCAAGTCGCCTGAAGCCTGTGGCCCAGATATTTCTTAACCATTCTCCGTACTCTTATTAGTAACGAGGCCTGTGAGAATTAGTTTTCATGACAAAAATACACGCTTATTATTGGGGCTGGGCTTGGCGACTGAATGTGGCACATTTTACACACCAAGCAGCAGAAATGTATCGTCTGCTCTGGTTTTAGGCGCTTTGCTCTTGTAGTCTTCCTGCATGTATGTGTGTGTAGCTCGCATGTCACTGTGTTTATAGTTTCAACATCATTTCATTGGAGCTCATGAGCTTTAATCAATAGTCCGAGGCGACATTTGAGTCTATTTACAGCAAGAAGCTGCCAAAGCAGGCCACAGGATTTGCTCGTGATGTCCTAATTCATTTGTCAGTCGACTTTATAACTACTAACTTTTTTCACGTGAGGATGAGTTGCTTAATAACCGTAAAGCATCTATGTATAGTGACAAATAGAGGAGTTAACCTGAGCACCAGGCAGCAGCGTCCAGGCCTGGATCCATACTCAACTTGAAGGAGGTTTAAAAAAAAAAGAAAAAAAAAAGTGTCATGTTGACAGTATGGGCGTAGCTGGAAGTTGTGGGTATTACACACAGGAGCTCCTTGTCCTTCCCCACACTGTCCTCTTAATCCCTCAGCACATCAATTTTCTGATCTGTCATTGACGTCCGGCATGTAGAAAGGCTGCAGCTATGTGTTTACTAGCAGCCCCCTGTTTAAAATCTGAAGAGGGTAGAGGGTAGTTTATTTTATGGGTAATGTTGTTGTCCAGACCAGATTTCAAAGACCCTTATTTTGTAACAGCTTTTTGAGATAAATCATACTTCCTTAATCACCTCTTGGGTTTTTTTTTTATTATAGATTTCGCTTGTGTATACCTCCTATTTATGATCAGATGCAAATGTCTAGAAATTTGCACAAGCCAGTAAAAATCCCAAAATGATGCGCGCAAATTCGTGCTAGAATAGTAACTCAGAAATGCGGTCGCTTGCATCGCTGTAAATATTGAAAGATTTGTGAAAGGAATGTCAAAGCTTTTTTTTTAGAAACAATTACATGTTCACTTCATCCGTCTAATGGTTGGCTTTATAGCACAACATTTGTTTTATTTGGCCTACAACATGGATAGATATGGAGTATCAGTTTATATCATTTCCATTATGCTGATATGACAACATTTTTACAGAATGTATGCACAATAGGAAAATGATGTTGTTGAGCTCAGAGTATAGTAAACTCAGACAAGACGTTGACATGTCAGGCTTTGCTTACATGCTGTCAACATGAGGAGACTGACTAGTAAGTGAAAAATATTTAGAGGGGGTGGTGCTTTCATGGGAAATCACAGTTTTGTTAAGTCATATGGACATAAGCTTAACCAAACTTAAAATGTCCTGAACATGATTTTCACCTCCTTTTTTTCCATACCTTTTTTATTTTTCATTTTTAGAGATAGGACAGTGGAGTCAGAAATCCAGGAGATAGAGAGTGGGGAAAGACATGCAGGGACGTAAAGTTGCTTCAGCATGTAGTGGAATGATCTGATGGTAAAGGGACCATATGCTGCCTAGCAATCAAGCGCCACCCACATAAAGTTCGAGCTAGAGCTAATGTAAAAGAGATAAAAGCCACGGCGAACCACCAGCAGAAGTGATGATCAACACTCAGTGATCCACGCTGTAATTCCTACCAGCCCACTCAATCTGGATGTTTTTTCTACTCACCGGCTGTCACACACCGCTGCAGATCTTGGCTTACACTGGAGCCAGCAGTCAGTCGCAGACACCAGGCCGAGCTCTAGTCAGTTTTTGTCATTAAAAATCTATTTGTCTGATGTGTCAGCATCAGTGAACAGAAGTACAAGTTTCACACTCAAACTGCAAGTTAAGAGCAGTTTGCATCAGTAATTCCTGGTCGCAACAGGAAACTATAGGGGATGCATGAGAGACTTCAACTGTAAAAAGATGTTGAAAAATTCAAAGTGGGTCGACATGTAATAGATTGTAGCCACTCACATTGATTTAAAAGGAGATGGTGTTAGTTTAGTACTCTTTGTACATATTTGGTGAGGTACCGGTATTTATGATAAAACATTATTCTGACTTCTTTTTGGCCGATTCAAATCTCCCAAAATAGGTTATTAAGCTAATTCTGCCTCCTCTACATTCAGGAAACAAATGAGCAGCAGATAAATAACCGTAGACTATTTCTCACAATATCAGAAGTAGCAATTAACCCTGCAGAGTCAAATGGATATTGGCAATATGATATAACGTTTCTAACTATTGTCAGGATGATATGAGACGTGTTGTATAATGTACAGTTCGTAACTACATAGTGTGCTGGGCTAGTTTTGTGGCTAGACTTGTAGTCGCCCCCAAATTCATTGCTTTCAGGTTTTCTATTGCAGTGTGCACATTGTGCACTTTCACATATTCACACAGTCCTGACAGTTAAATGATGATTCATTTGCAGGACTAGTTTAATTGGATTAAAGCATATAAGGCATCACATACTAACGGCCAGAATTAGATAATTCAGCTGCATCAGTGCGAAGGTAGAAGGGTTTTTTTTATTATTTAGGCTGGTGTTTCAAGTCACTTACAGCTTCATGCAACCTGTTGCACTAATCCACATATTGTTATGTAGTTGTGTTGTTGTTTTCATTCCTGTAGAAATATTGAAAAAGGAAGTCAGTTAGAATCAGTTAGATATTTAATCAAGATTTCCTCCCCCCGTAAAAAACAAGTTTATCGGTTTTTCTTATATCCACATTTTTTTTTTTTTATATAATGAAGCTTGATGTGTTTTTCATTTTAAAGTTGAATGACTTGAGATACAAAATCTTTGGTCTTTTTCAACCACTTCAGGCTTTATGAGCAGCTTGACTTAAATTCTAGTCTAGGAGATCCCGGAGAGCTTTTGTAAAGATTTTGTGCCATTAAGTGTTTGTTAAAATATGATAATCTATTAAAATATATTTCCAATTCACTGGTACTTCAGCTGAATGCATAGTTGTGTGGCAGTGAGGTAATTTCCCAGACAGAGAACAAATCTGTTATTCAAATTTGTGGTTAAAAGTGAGATCAGAATTATTTTCATACCCAACACTTCCTAAACATTACAGCCGTATGACCCCTAAGTAAATGCATAAGAAGATTAGACCTTGTTAGTTTACATAGCATTATGGAGCGTCAGATACCCTTTATAGGTAAGCCAAAGTCAGGGATAAAAATGGCTGAGAGGATTAGCTCAGGCAGAGTTCTTTCAGGCAGCTAAGATTTTGGTAATTATTTTCATATTTGCACTTGACTCCTTAATCTATCTTAGATCTTTGAGACACACATATCCAAACAGAAGTTCACACATAGACAGATAAGAGCAGGTATGCACACATACACCCAGCCAGGCAATATTACAGCAGGATAATGACATGTAAAAGATGATGCTTTGAGGGGAAAAAAATGAGTACTGGTAACTGTGCACAGTGAAGGATGACAGTAATGTAATAGCTGCTACACATATACTGCATGGCCTCTCATCTGTGTAGTAATGTGATGGGTTTGTAGTGATATTGTGTCACCTATGCCCTGGCTAATGTTTAGGCTGAAAAATAGAGGACTGAATTCTATTTAAAGAGCACATTGAAAGCACAGCTGAGCTTTGCACTCTGTTGTGACTGGAGGGTTTAGTATCTTTATCATAAAGCTTGGCTGTATGGCAGGCAGACACATCTGTGCGGAGGAGGGGTCCGTTGAGATCCCTGAACCCTACATCGAGCAAGCACGGAGAAAAATGCACATTGCATAGTTTCACCTTCAAAATAATGTATCAAACACATGGATTTGGAAATGTAACTTAAACACGCTAGACTTACAGGCTTTGGCTTACTGATTCCACACGTTATTATTCCATCCCTGCTCACACAAAATCACTGCTCTTTGCTCATCATCTGACCATGTTCATTGTTGCAAACAGTCATTTTTCTTCCTCACAATTCTTCGGAGCCCACACATCAATTTGCACATTTGAATCTGCAGTCATTTATTCTAAGTAATACATTTACTTTAAAATTAAAGGGAAAACGTTCACATTAGAGAAGCTGGAAGATGAAAATATTCAGTATATGTCAGCAATAATGACTCAAATAAGTAAGAAGAAGTACTTGTGCACTACTGCACAATTACTTCTTCTTACTTATTCTATACTGTAGCTTTAGAGGTTTTCTGTAATCATTGCAGAGCCTAATTGTTGCCAAAATTGTCCACTTGATGACGTTTGATCAGAAACTCCTGCTGCTGTGATATTAGTCATAAACTGAATGACCAGGTAGAAGCATTTTGAACAATTTATTCCGATCTTACTGACTTTCAAAAGTATGAATAGGCTTAGAGCGGGCAGCTGAATTAATTTTATTGACTGATGAAGCCTATAATATGTTTAATATTTTTAAGTTTGACAAGATTTGTGCAAGAGAGTTTTTGGGATACAAACCAGCATGCCTACATTAAATCCAAAGTCAACAGCATTCATTATAAACATCTTCGACTGTCTGTTGTGTTTAGCAGGATTTGTAGAGGTATCAAAGATTTCTTCAAAAAGCCCAGTGCTGTAAATGAACCTGGGCTTGTTGCCATTGACGGAGAGACATTTTGTTGTGTTACATTTAGTACATACTTAGTATAGTGAAAATAGAGTCTGAGATACTATCCATTGTGAGGCCAGAACACACACATACAAACCTAGAACTA